GGGGGGGGGGGGGGGGGGGGGGGGGGGGGGGGGGGAGGTAAGCGAGCATGCTGATTATTACGAATATATTACTGAGGGTAGGACGGAGCTGAAAGCCTCTCTTTTCTTCTTAACTGGCACAGGTACCCAGCTGTGGAATCAGTCAGACTGCCATGCTGACGCTCGTGTAGCACCTTCCATTACATCCCTCTTTCTTGCCATGATTTTCTTTTTAAGTAAGACACCAACAAAGGACCGCACAAATTTCTCATAATCAAATACTCACTTCATCAACCGGCAACCTCTTAACTTCGATTAATGCCGTGTTTAGTTGCTGTACTAACCAGATCAGACCGGTAGGGAAGCAAGATATGGCATCACAGATCCCTGCGAATTACATTTCAGAAAGATCCTCACGAACAGAAGCAAAAATCCGACATACCTTTGATAAAGCTATGAGCTAGCAGGACCAACTTCTCAACGATAAGTTTGCGATGAGCAGCTACCCTCTTATGGTACTGCGTGCTGGTTGGATCGTCGCCAAACCTGCGAATCCGATCAGCACTAGGAAATCTCAGTGGGGACTGTAAACGAGCATATGAAACAACATAACGACTGGGAAAAAATCCAGCGGGTTTTTAGCACTCACAATCTTATGTACTCAAGTTCTCGCATGATTCACATAAAAAATTCTGACCTTGGCGGGATCGATATCAAGAAAAACTTCGTCCTGGCAAAGTACCAACATCACAGAGTCGTGAAGAGCAGCAGTGAGAAAAATCTATATGATACGTTACTTGACAAACCATCCATTCCACAAGAAAATTCCTGGGATACTCACCTTAGTTGCATACAAAGACTCGCTATACAGTTTGTATAATCGAGGAAAGGCTGCAGTACCTTTGCGAATAACAAGGCGTGGGTTAGAATGTGAAAGAATTTGCACACGCATCAAACACACTAAGGTCTGAGAAATGTTTCATTATGTCTAACACAAAAACAAGGGACACGAAAATTACAGACCTCCAAAACAGCTTTCTCATCAGGAGGATAGAGGCAGTTGCCATAAAGAAGCCCAAAAACTGCTTGTATACTCTCGTCGGATGCTACTTCCTACTCATCTGCTTTAATTTTTTTTT